TCCGTGTGTGTGTTCACTACTGTGTGTGTGCATTTGGATGGGTTAAATGCAGAGCACAGATTCTGAATATGGGGCACCATATTTGGCCACACTTCACTTCATGTTTTGGGGTTGCTTTGCTGCCTCAGGCACTGGATGTCTTGACTGTGTGCATGGCATGAAATCTGAAAACTACCAAAGAAATCTGTGTCGCAATGTAGGGCCCAGTGTCAGAAAGCTGGGTCTCCATAAGAGGTAATGGGTCTTAAAGCAGGACAATGACTCAAAGTATGTTTCAAAAAGCACCAGAAAATGGTTTAAGACAAAGCACTGGAAGGTTTAAGTGGCTAGAAATGAGTCCAGATCAAAATCCCATAGAGCACTTGCCTAGAGATCTCGAGAAGAATCCCTTCAAATCTGAAAGACCTAGAGCAGTTGGCAAGAGAAGAGTGGTCCAAAATTACAGGAGAGAGCTGTAAGAAACCCACTGATAGTTATAGAAAGCGATTGATTTCAGTTATTGTTTCCAAAGGATGTGCTACCAAATATTAAGTTGAGGGTGTCAATTTTGTCCAGTACATTTTTGGAGATTTGTGTAGAATGTCTCAGATTTGGCTTGTTTTCCTCTGCTTTTTTGTGTTGTTCCAATGCAAACAATTTGTAATTGCAACAAGTTTCTGGGAGAAGTAGTGCATTTATTATCTGACAGAAATGCAGGGGTGCCAATATTTTTGTCCATGACTGTATGTGTCCCATGTGCATCTAGAGACCCCCAAAATATGAGAAAAGGCCATACTCTCTCTTATAGTAAATATGTGTGCAAACACGCTGTTTATATTTGGCTCCACATTTTACATTACATGCAGGCTCATTAGAATAGTAACCCTAGTAGGCTTCTAGAAGGCTCCATCTAAAACGGCTCGTTTCTGACAAACGATGAACTGAGTGCCTGCATAAATGCCCAGTTTAAGATAAACAAGGATTTTTCGTGACTGTGGATCATGCTAAATTTACTCTGGTGGAGTATCAGAATTAAAATATCAAACGGGAAATGAGCATAATAGGTCTCCTTTAAATTCAGTTTAATTAGTTAAATTCCTTAAGAGAATCTGCTTGACTAATGAGCTATGGTAATACATAGTTACCAGAACCACCAATAATTATCCTACAAACATTATTTACATACCTGACTTTTTCTTTTTGCAACTGAGATAAACTGTGAGGACAGCAGTGGGTTTGGAGAAATAAAATTTCTCATATACCAAATAAAGCTTAAACATATTATTTCAAATACATCAAGATCACAACATCACACAAGTGCAGCAGTACATATACTAATAGGTGTAAAGTACATGCATTTTTATTGCGATTAAATTAAGGTTGATTCATTAACCCCATTTTTTGTTTTGTTTTCTTGCTTATGCCCATACTGTTTGTGATAATCACAATTTGTTTTAAAGGGGTCATATGATGCTGCTAAAAAGAATAGTATTTTGTGTATTTGGTGTAATGAAATCAGCGACCAGCACAGATCAGCTCCAGGCATAACGAAGCAGATATCGTCCTCTTTTGGAAGACAAAACAAAGTAGTTTCGCTTTTACAATGAAGCACACAGCGCCTTCACGACATGGCGGCGGCAACAGCAATACTACAGCAAGAATAAAAGTTGCGCCTTCTTTCTTTGCGTGAAGATGTGGGAAGAGTTGCATGAACATTTGGGCAGCGTTATGCAAATCTTACCACATCGTGACATAGATAGTTTTAACTTTTATAAAGAATATCTCTTTGGATTTGAGACTTTAGTCTTTGCAACTTTACAGATCTTCTTTATGCACCAAGAGCTTGTAACACTCCAAAGAGAAAGGACAAATTTAAATCGCATCATATGACCCCTTAACAAGTGCTGATCCTTTGCTGCCTTGTTCAGGGAATGCAAGGGGTGGGTAAATGGTGGTGTGGCATAGCCAGATATAAATATTAAAATTATATATAATTTTATAAATATAAAAATATAAATATAAAAAATTAAAATTTCTAATATCGTTAATTCTGAAATGTAGCCTCATCGAAGGTCTGTAATAAGCAGTGGCCTGTTCCACCATATTAACATTGGCAGCTACCATCGGGAGTGTGTGCCTGTAGAATACAAGCGAGTCCATACTGTCACAAATCCTGTCCATGGACTTCCGTTCGATCGCCACCAGAGGTCACCCTTTTGTTACATTGACTCTCACACTACACAAACTGTTGCATGTCTGTTACCATGAGTTTGAAAACACAAAAGGGAAAAAGTAACAATGTTTATAACATTTTCTACACAAGGGCAGTTCATTATGACCACAGATGTCAAGCTCCAGAAGGACAAAAAGTAGACATACACACAATTTATGAAGTATATTTAAAGTGTTCTGGGTTCAGTTACAGGCACTCGTTTTTATGCAATACTAAATTTTATGCATTGATAAATATTCATGTTTTTCACCATTACACTTAGTGGTAAATAAGTGATCCCACATATAAACTATAAAATTATGGAAGTTTTTGACCAGGAGTAACAGTTACAATACAACAGTGGACTGATTAATTTAAGTAAATCATGAGCTCTTTTTTTTTTTATCTCACAGACCGCAATCCTTTTCAAAGTTTTATGTTGCTGTGTACATTACTTAAAATTATGTAAACTGTCTTGACAGTGGTCCTAACTACTAACCTAAACTAACCTAATGAAATGCATGATTTATGCATATAACGGAAATACATGACAATTTAACACTACTGTTTACTTTGGAGGTTTACAAACCTTAAGAATAAAAATTAAACACATCATTAAGGAATGGCAATGTAATGTAATATAATAGTTTTTTTTTGTGATAAATGCACTAATTTTCATTATTCTTAAAATCTTGATATTTATTGAAGCTTTCTTCATAGTCAAAATAGCATGTTGTTGATTATCTTTGTGTTGTCATGAAATAAGGACCTTTTTGAATATTCAAAATGGAAAATAACAATTGACCAAGATTCTTCTTGATCTAGTTTCTCTTCCACATTAAAACCTATCATATGGCTTTTGAGAGTGCTCTTTTTTGGAGCTGGACATCCATGGTTACTGTAATCTGTAATTCGTATCAAATTTTAATTTCGGGTGAACTAACCCTTTAATGATTTATCAGCACTAGTGGATCTCACTGAAACTGGTGAGTCTGAATTTGGATCATCATGTAATTGTGGTCTGTCTGTCTGAATTAATAAATGTATGTATGTAAAGTGATCTTTCTGAACCTGGAACTTGATCAGCGCTTTCTGATCTCCCAGCATGCTGGCCTGAACCTAAGCCACTCACTACACTTTGGTCTGTACATCTTCCTAAAATTCTGTATCTCTTTGGTTGGAAATCCTACAAACAACCATCAAGATCATCAGTGTTATCTAAACATCCAAATATTCAACAGTAATATTTTAGCAAGACTTTATTTAAAAATATAAATTAGTAAACTGAAGTTACCATAGATGAGTCCACTTCACTTTCACCAATTCCTGAGAAAAGAAGGGATACATAGGTGATACATAAATAAATGGAAAACATACTAAACAATATAATTAATGAGCAACTGTTATGTATTACAAAACATACACTGGACTTAAAATGTGTTATCAAAACTTATGGAACATACGTGATATTGAGCTGCTTTCATCAAGGCAAATGACATCTGTAAATACAACATGCAATTGGTACTGTATTAGCACAAGAGCAAGTTTATATAATTCAATTCAATTCAAGATTATTTGTATAGCGCTTTTCACAATACAAATAATTGCAAAGCAACTTTACAGCAAATTAAGTTTTGTTTAATTACAATATTATAATATTGTTTCTACAATATTTAGTAGTAGTTTATCAGTGGTGACTGTCAGTTAATGTACATATGGCAGAAATGTACGGAATAATCAATTAAAGACGTAATCAAACAGACGATGAACACTATTAACAGCAATTATTATATGTTGCAATCAAACTTATAGCAAAGTTTGGTAGTTCTGTATGTTGTTTCAGGGTTGGCATCATCTGAGGTCCTCTGAGGGGTT